GCCGGGGGCTGACCGCGAAGCCCTGGTCCAGACTGGCTGCTTCACAGCCGCGTGCTCCCACCAGGGCAGGATCCAGCCCTGTTACCCCGCAGCCGGGAACCAGCCACGAGACGCTGCGAAAGGATAGAGAGACGAGCCGGCCATGGGGAGCAAATCCCAACTCCCTGAGCAAGACTGCTATAAATAACCCGGCCTTTCTGAAAGGGGCCGGAGGTTGAACTCTTCCGCTCCGACTCTAAAAGGAGACAGGGAAAAATAAACAGTGGCTCTGCCTGGGGGCCTGATTCTGCTCCAAATCCGCATGGATTCAGGGCAGGCATGGGGGTGTGACGGGCCAGCCTCGCGCCATGCTTCGAGAGCAAAAAGGGGCTCCCACTTTTCACCCCAAACCCAGCTCCCCCCCTGCTGAGGGACAACTTGTCACCTGCAAAACCCACTCGGCGCCACACACAAAACTCACCCGCCCCGGCAGGGAGACCCCGCACGCCGCGTCCACCCTCCACCAGCGATGGGCCGGAGCGCAACCCTATATCAGCCACTGGAGACTCCCCACGACGCTGCAGGGTTGGTTTCTGAACATGCCGAGGAAAGCCGGCACCTTCCCGGTGCTCAGATCTGGTGGCGAGGGGGTGTTGGGACCCGGAAGAGGGGGGTTCAAAAATTTTCCCTTGTGCCGGAAAACAGGAAAAGTCCCTTCCTCTGCCCCGGCGCCTCCGAATGCCGCCAGGGTCCAAAGTCCGTGGCGGCCGGGCTGGTGCTTCCTGCCCTTGGCGGCGACAAGGGAGGGCCTGGCGCCCACAGGGCTGCCTGGGAAACTCGCAGGTGCCAGCGGTCTGATGCTGAAGCTGGTGGCCCCCTGAAATGGGGCTTGACCACCCAGGAAAGGGGATGGGGATGCTCTGACCCTGCGGCATTGCTAAGGCCCTGTTATCCCTTTGCCCAGGGGCCCAGCCCTTGCTGCAGGCCTCCCACGGTGTCTCCGTGCTGGGCAGGATGTGGCCCCAGGGTACTGGGGCTGCGCCGTCCTCCTGCCGCAGCATCCCGGCTTGGGGTGCTGCCACAGTCCATCCCTGTGGTATCAGGGTACCGGATTAGCAGCACTGTGGGAGAGCTGGGAATGAGCGAGAGGGGA